TTAGACTAAGTAGGACAATTTTGGATCCCCTTTTGTAGGCGGTGGCCCTCACACTGGCCACAGGCTGCCATGCTAGCCCCATGCCCTTTCTTCCGTCTGCCTGGTCCTATTTTTTTTCTGCAAGGCAGCAGGCCCAGGGTTTAGAAGTACTTCATGGCAGCAATGTAATTCAGTTAACAGCAGTGGCTGTAAAATGCCCTGATAAAGCAGAGCAGATGTCAAAGTGCAGACACTTTCTGGACATGCGTGCACAGCTTTCCCCAAAGTGGCCTTGCAAGGCGGAATTGCTATCAATTCGGTGACATTGAGCTGACTGGAGAAATTCTCCTGTAATCAGATAGCTGAGAAATGTGACTGGCTTTTTGTCACTTGAATGTTTGTCATCAGCATCTCCTGCTGGATATTCATTTGTACATAAATTACTTCCAAAAATAATCTGTCATGAACATGATGCCCACATTTTCCAGTCTCCAAACTTCTCTTCAAGAGAAAAAAGCCCAACCCCTATGTTGGAGCACAACGATGTGTTGTGCACAAATTTGTGTAATGTATATTCTCAGCTTGGTGCACCGAGTGACCTTCCATGGGGTTAAGGCACAGCAAACAGAATGTGTGATGAATGGTTGAGGGATATTGTTAGCACGTGTGCCTGGCATATGGGAAAGAAAAGATGAAATATCTGACTTGTATTTTCCAGTCATTTCCATCCTACATCAAAACAAACTTTTCCTTATGTAAACAGAGATAATTAGTTAATCCATATACTGCCAGTATCTGCTTTGCTACAAAATCAAACACTGTCCTGCATTCAGGATATTTTCCTGCAGCAGAAACAACAACAGAAGTGATGTATTCAAGTCTCGTGAAATGGACTGTAACATTTGGCAACATATGCAGGTCTTGGAATATGTGTTTTGCTCAGACTAAGCTGTGCTGAATATAATCCTTTGAATTCCCAATCTCACACACATTCAGAAAAGAAATAAAAAAATCAACAGCAGAGTGTTTGTTGAGCAACTGTCTTTGCCCCTCAACTCAAAGGAGGCATTGTGCTGTCCACCTGCAGATCTTCTTAACTTTCCTCCTGCTTTCTCCTCTTTTGTAATAATGAAAGCTTTCCCACTTGAAAGTACAAAAAGGCATTTACTGTTTTTGCAGTGAATTGCAGACCTTCATATGTGGAATTTCCAGGCAATACAGTTAAGATACAGAAGGCCTTCAATCTTAAAAATAAATAGCAGACCCCTTTCTTTAACACAAGAGAATAACCTCAGAAAAGCTGAAGGAGGAAATCACTCAGTGTCTCTACCCTCTGGTGTCTCGTTCCTATGCAAATACATGATGCTGCGTGTTAACACTGTGGTGTAGCACTTCTTGCCCACACTGCGTGGTTGTGTACACCTCCTGCCATCGTAATGTGTTGTTCAAACACAAACCTTATTATCCATATGCTCATCAAGTCTGAGATGCAGCAATGATGTATGGTACTCAAATGGTTCTTGCCACTTCGGTAAAGTAACTAGGGAATTACTCAGCTGTACTTTAGTAGCTGTGATGGTTTAATATAACTCTTTCATTTAAACTCTCCCACTTTTGTTGCTCTGTTTGTAGTAGAAACAGTGACTACTCTGAAAAGGTTAGAATAAGCCTGTTAAAGGAATTCTTGCAGAAATGCAGGGCCTAAGTGAGCTCATTGCTTGATCTTGGGTTGCCATCAGCACTGAGGGATGCTGAGGTTTTGCCACTGGCCCGTGGGTGGTATGTATGCTTAGCCAGGCAATCGCTGGGGTAATGCAAACTTCAGTGAGTCATGTAAGCTACTTCTTAAGAAGATCTGAAATCTTTCAAGCGTCTCTGGCTCATTAAAATCCAAACTAAATGGGCAGGACCCAGACTTGACAGCTCAATGAGTCGTATGAACTCTTACAACATTTATTTTGATACCATAAAAACCTATGTCCAAAAAGTGTCACCGAATCTCAATCTAGAGCTATTTGGGGATATTTGACCTCATTTCATCTCAGTAACCACTAAAAACAAATACGAATGAAACTTGTTCTCCCACTGTAGTACTGCCTGCATGTCCGTCTCTTGGCCAGCAGTCTGGACACAAACCATGTATGTTAACTGAAGTCTTATCAACAGGTTTGGAAAGTCTGCTGCTCCTATTACTTCCTTTTTTTTTTATTATTTTTTTATTTTTTTAATAGGTGTTAATGTTTCTGGATACACTTTAAAGGATACTTTGCAGATGTGTATGAATAATAGTCACCAGTAATGTATTGTAAACCAGGCATGCACTGCAAATTGCACAATACATCACTGCTATTACTAAGCCCTGATAAAATGTCTACTTCTGTGATAAGTGTTCTAGCCCTTTCATATGTTACTTAAGTAAATGATAAAAGACGCAGTTAAATTTTAATAGGGTATGTTTACAAAGGCATTTTTTAACTAATGCCAAATTATACATTCTGTACTCTGTATTTTTATACACCCCAAGGTGGAATCTAGGTTGTTTTTATGGTAAACATATGGAAACTTGGTTTGCTTCCTATTTTTTTCCAAATAAAGTTGTTGTTTTTTTTTTCATTAGGCTGGGCCTTTTTGTTGATGTATTCAGGCTGTTGGAAGAATTGGGAATGATGAATGTATCACATTTTGGGGGAGTATAAAGGGCTGGCATGCATTCATAGTTTTCTTTCTGTTAAAAACAAACAATATATAGAAGAAAAATGAGAAAAATGAGAAAATTTGGGCATATTGCTAATGATCTGAATCTGAAGAGGTTTTTGATGGAAAAAACTGTTAACTTCTGAAGATCTTCTGACTCTTTATCCCAAAATAAAAATGAGAGGTCCTTTTCTAGGAGCATTGTAATGGGGTAATACTGTCTCTGGCGTGCTATTCCTAGCTTTTTTTTTTTTTAATGCTTGTATCCACAAAAATATTCCAAAAAATACCTTCTCCTAGGGCTTTGTCCAATGCTTACTTCATCTGAGGGAGGTCTTTCTTTGACTTCAACAAACTGGATCAGGACTAAACTCCTGCAAAAGCAAAACCATTTGAAACTCTTTATACCTGTAGAAATGGGAAGAGCTGTTCTATGGAAATGACGAAAAGTGTTCACTGGGAAGTGAATGATTGTATTAGATGCTTTGGCTCTCATTTCAGTCTCGCTCAGCTGTATCAGACCTCAGTGAGGCAGTAGCACCCAAAATAGATACCTACATTAAGCAATGTCTAACCCCGTCTCAGTATTTTGACTGTCCTTACAGAGTGTATGTAAACCTTTGTTCCCTGCCTGATACTTAAACCCAGTATATGTACGGTTTATCATAACAAGTAATAATAATAGTTTGTAGTTGAGTAAATTAGTTCACAGGAGATACCATTAAGTCAGAAGAAAGTGTTGTCTGTCCTAAATGCCATGAAATGTTACAGCTCAGTCCTAGCTAATAATTGTGGTGATGGATGAATGTTAATATGCAGGTACAAGCACTAGGATTTATTTTTAACTTGATCCCATACCTTGTGTAAGCCACTTCTTTTACACCAGGATGAGACTGGGAGACATCTGGTTGCTGTGGCTTACAGCTGTGCTCTCCGTTCCTTTCTCATTTTAAGGGACGGTCCCCTGAGCCAGCCCTGTATTGTGGCTTTGGGGCCATGGGACCCTACCTAATTTTTTGTTTCACAGAGCCCACTTGTGGGATGTAGAAGACCTTCAGCCCCAGACCCAGTCAAAAGAACTCTAACCAGCCCCTTCCCTTTCTGTGGCTGTGAGCCTCTGTGCTTGTGGGCACGTGCTTTCCTTCACACACGGGCATAGTCCCAGTGCAGGCAGCACCACAACTCATGCATGCAATTAAACAAGTATGTGCGTGCTCATAGGGTTGAGGCCAAAAATCAGATCATACTGGCTTAGCAAGGGGCAAATTTGACCAGCGGTTTTCCAAGCCGGTGACATCACATTTGCCTGACCTACCGTGAGTAATGTAATTACAACTGGGGATGAGCAAGACATAAAAAATAGGATACGAGAAGAAAGAAATGGCAAGGTAGTGATGAGACAGAAAAGTTAATTTTGGAGGAAGGTCCAGCAGAAGTGAAGTCTGGACACCAGGGGACCTGATTGCAAGCGTATATGAGCTGCGTTACCCAGATGGGTTTCTTTTCCCTTAACACCAGCAGTCACCAAGTGAGCTGCCCACACCAAGCTCCTCCTGCCAAGCATGGGGGGAAACGGGTACCTCCAGCCACCTCTTCATCCTACCAGTCCTAGATGACTATCTATTGATTTTAAGGCGAGTCTGGGTTGCTGAGCTAAGAGTCTTGTTAGATGACGAAATGATTTAGGGGAGATAAATTCCATACAAAATCATATAGCACAGGAGGGAGGCAGCAGTTGAGATTAAGATCTGAGTCTAAAGTTGCTGGACTTCCTCGATCAAAAGGCACTTGGGATTGGACTCCAGAGGTGCAGGAGAAGAAGGGAAGGGGGAATGAATAAGGCCATATTTGATATAGACAGCAGTTAGTCATGTAATGCCTAGGGTTGTTTTGTTTAGGCAGGAGGATGACGGTCATCTGGAGAAGGAGGTTGCAACAGCAGGAAGGAGGAGGTTTTTGGACCAAGAAAGGTGGAGTGGAGATAGCATCTTGCCTAGTTAAACTGTAAGGATCAGCAGGGAGGCAGATGTGGGCTTTTGGGGAAGGAGAATCATAGAATCACAGAATGGTTAGGGTTGAAAAGGACCTTAAGATCATCTAGTTCCAATCCCCCTGCCATGGGCAGGGATGCCTCGCAGTAGCCCATGTCGCCCAAAGCTCTGTCCAACCTGGCCTTGAACACTGCCAGGGATGGAGCATTTCCAACTTCTTTGAGCAATCAGTTCCAGTGCCTCAACACCCTCACAGTGGAGAACCTTTTCCTTATACTTAACCTGACCTTCCTTTGTTTAAGTTTAAACCTGTTACCCTTTGTCTTATCGCTACAGCCCCTGATGAAGAATCCAACCTCGATTCTTGGGGGTAGCAGTGATGATGCAGAGGGTATTGGAAAACCCAAGTGAGAGGGAGGATGGAACAAAGTCCCAGCTGTGTTCAAGGGTGAGAAGAGATGTTGAGCTGGAGGGACACTGCTGGACAGGGCTTATTTCTTCCCCAGGTAGGACAAAGGTGGTTACAGGTGTCCCATAACAAAGGTCCTCTTCAGAACCTGGTAGTCTGGCAGCTCACACTCACTAACTGCATCCCAGAAAACACCTGGTTCCTGAGCATGCATGAGAGGAATTCACTGAGAAGATTCACAAAGATTTACAAGAGGTTGAAAATTTGTCAGTTTGGGGCCAAGAGTCTGGAATTATTTGTTCTGCCCACAAGTGAAACGAAACTGATCAAATACCTTCCCTCCTCATCATTGAGGACTGTGGGCTGGTGCACATGTTGAATCCTTCTTTCATCTGTGCCACCATCACTTCAGCTAATTTCTTACTCAAAGGGACAGGAATCCCCAGAGCTCTCTTTTGGGATGTATATCTAGGGTGGAAGGAACCATTAACAGCAAAACAGATCCCAAAAGGCAAGGGGAGCCCCCAGACCACTCTCCCCTGCACCGCCATCAGAAGGTAAGTATTTTTAAGAATACCCAGCCAATTACATTTAATTTATGTGGGTTTGGGATGGACCTGGCCAGAAAAGAGTTCAGCAATTTTGAGGATGCTGGGGAAAGTTTGTAAAAGATGAGGATTTAGGCACAAATCACTGATATTATTGCAACTATTGATTATGTGGCAGTATTTCAGAATATGTATCATATATTATATGGATAAAAACTCAGGGGTATGTTATGTATCCTTATGAATTAACCTTTTTTTTATGAATGTGTAAATGATGCTTTGTTAACCAGAGATAGGTCTGAAGTTGTGGAACCCATAAGTGAACCCATAGAAATACTACAGCTTCAGAGGATCCTAGGGGTGTCTGCTTCACTTGCCTTAAGAAACCATAGCATCAAGTCCTAGAAGAATTGAACTGAGTGAAGTTACCTGTCTTGGTGTCTTGGTGTATATATAAGCAAAGAAAGCTGCCCCACAGATACTGAAAGCCACAGACTGAGAGTTGCTGTGAGTGAGCTTCAGGATGCCTCCCTTTGCAAAGATGATATCATGCAAGTGGGATGGTTTGGTACAACTCCCACTAGTTAGTTCTTCATTAGCAGTCATTACACACCCGATAAAATCATCTTACACTGCCTGTAGAGGACGTGGCCTTAAGTGTCACTGAAAGGGGTAGGTTACATGGACACCCCTGTGTAGTGGAAGTTTTGTAGGCATGTGCTCTGGAAAAACAATGCAATCACTGTCCACCCATTACTTGTAGGCAGCACTGATGGGATGTCAAACTGTGATGAAGCCACAGTACCATTCGATATGTTGAAAAGGATGTTGTGGTGAGCAACAAGTCTTTAGCTTGCTATGTAAATGTAATCATAGTTGTTAGACCTGGGGAGGTGGGCATGGCCAAAACAAAGTCTCAGAAAGTGCAGTCTCAGGAAGATGCTTGCCTTGGAAATAAGAGTAAGGTCGAATTCCAACATCTATAGGGGATGGTCCTTTCTTGGCATTGTGTCATCCTCCAGGGGCCCAAGTGAAGGCTCAGGATGCCATTGTGGTGGCAAGCACGGATGAGGGTGGGGTAGCTGGTGTGAAAGATGTTTATACCTGGTGTTTGGTACCTGAACCCAGATGAGCTGGCCAGAAAGCAAATACTTAAAGCAACGTGTTTTTTTTTTGCTAAATAATATCTATACATTTCGATTTGAGTTAGCAAATGGCCTTTGTCTTACTCTGAAGATTACTGCAGTGACAGTGAATGATGAAGATACATATGGGTCACCTATAGAATGCACCTGTGGCACACAGGGTTCCTAACCACTGGTTAAACCCCAAAATGCAAACTGACTTAAATGTTGAGTGCAGACTCCTAGCAGATGCCAGTCTTTCAGTGGACAGATGATGCATCAGAATGATGCCGTGAAGATACCAGGTCAAACTGCTGCTCTTCATTATGGTAAATCCAGGTCCAGATGCTACTGCTTGTTGAAGCAGCAGTCCCAGCGATGTGACCTTCTGAAATTACAGAGTGGCCATTGACTTAGTCAAGCTTGGGACTGGACTTTGCATCTTCCTGCATTCCAGATGCAGTACGCGCGTGGGAGCTCCAGTTAAAAGTTGTTTCTACAGGTGCCAGCTACCCATGCTTTTTGCTTTGGAGGGTCTCAGGTTAGTCTTCAACATATTGGATGGGATGCCAGGTACAACAAACTGTTGTGACTTCTCTTGGATCTTCCAAAACTGTATTTTTTTTCTTTTTTCTTTTCTTTTTTCTTTTTTTCCTTTTTCCCTGTAGTGCTCAGGTCCCAGATATAGGAAGAAATTTGTGTGTGTGTTTGGGGGTGGGGTGGGGGGGGTGGGTTAAATATACAGTAAAGTTTCTGGTCTTCATGAGGTCAGAGAAAACAGGGAAGTGAACACCCAGAGGCCAGAAAAACAGAAGGCAAACAGAAGGAACATTATGTTAATATGAAAATTAAAAGGTTCTTGAAAGAAGAAAAAATGTTTTGATGTTGGAGCTTTCCAGTACATGATTTTTTTTGTAGGCTTGCAATTGACCATAATGGTGTTGTCTAATGTAAAATTGAGTGATACAGGCCTTTTCCAGTTGTTTTTCCTTCTGAGTGACGAGAAGCAGTTTCCAGTAAATGAAGAGCAATCAACTGCTGAATCATAGCTGTTGAGCAGAGGTTTCAAAACCTGAGCCAGATAATTGTGTGAGTGCTGTTGGCACCATGTCCCTCCTCTCTGATTGACGGAGCCAACCTTGGGCTCACCTTACCCGGGCACGTGGTTTCCTTGGCTTCAGGCTTGCTCTGGCGAGTGAAGGCTGCCAGAGCCAGCCCCAGGAGGTCAGGATTGAGGGATCTGTAGGTATTTGTCAGCCTATTCGGTGAGGCAGTTCAGCTAATGTTCCCCTCACTTGGCAGCCTTTCCTTCCATATGCCAAAAATATTTACTCTAAAAAGAGAACTTCAGTCTGGGTTTGGTGCCTGCTGGCTCTGCAGTCAAAAAAAAACAGACCTTGATTTCAGTCGTGCATTCTTAAAATGTGCAAATATGTGACTAACAGAGACATAATGATACCTAACACTAAAACACGTGCCATTCAAGACTTTTTCTTAAGGCTTACCTGGTTTTGGACAAGATGGAGGATTCATCCTGCCTGACCATTACACTGTGTCTCCAGCTCAACTACTCACCCAGGCTTACTTCATAGGCAATGGAAGGAGACAATACTCTCCTCGAGCAAAGTACACCCCATCCTAATAGCAAGCACATAGAGCAGAGGAGCTGGATGCAGAGGGGATTTATCGCCACACTGACTCGCACCTGGTGGGCATCTAAAGTCTGGAGAGAGGAATCCCACCTTCAGCCGGTAAGAAGTCAATCTGAGGATCTCTTCCCACCATGGGTGGGAGCTGTGGAAACCACAAGCTGGTGTGCAGTGTCCCTCTGAAGACCAAGGGAATGACAAAAGAGACTCCTGAGTTGTGTTCCTAGGACCTCTGCTTTGCCTTTGTCACCTGTGTGTGCCTGGAGTGGTCTGCTAAACCAGCACTGTCACTGCATCATGATGGACCACTTGCTAAGCAGCTCCTTAGTCATGGCTGTGAGCTTTTCCAATACGTGTGAGATAGCCTTCTGCTGCCAGAGCGTTATTAGTAGTGTCCTGAGGTGAGCAGGGATTAATGTCGTGTGCTTGGTTTGATGTATTAGCCAAACAACTTGTTCCAGCAGTGGTGAAAAATGAGTTGGAAATGGCATCAGAAAGCATCTGCCAAAGCTCTCTTGTCAGGCTTGGAAATAATGTTTTGCTGAACACAGGATCTACCTCCTTCTGTTGAAAGATAATTTTACTTTAGCAACACTGAAGCACATTTTTATGGGGGTCCCTTTTCCAGCACATCAGTGGGGAGAACACTGTACCTGATTTCCTGGTTTTTATTTGTCTTCAAGGTCTATAGTAGGAAGGTCAGAAATATGACTCAGGGAAAGAATTTTCCCTTAGAAAGTCTGCTTAAGTGGAATACCAAGGTGTATTTGTTTATTCTTTACAATGACTTGGTACTTTTATTCAACCACCTTTAAAAGTTACGTTTCGTAAGTTGTTATCCACCCACAGGACCAGCCTGATTGCTTTAGATTCAAATTGTAGCATGCTGTAGACACCTGCGACTAAGCAGCAGCTGGTTTTCATACCTAATTTTTCTGTGCTTCTTCTGTAGAAAACCAAACGAAGAGAATTGATAAAAATGAGACACACTCGGTTACTTTGAATAGTTTGGATTCCTTGAGGTTTTGCTAGAAGCAATGTAGGAACATAGAAATAAAGAAGAAAGTTGCAATAACCCAAGTTTAAAATGGTAAGATAGAATTTCCAGTTGTGGTATCAAGCAAGCAAAAAATAATAGTAGTTCCTACATAACGCTATGGACAGAGAGACCTAAAAAGCCAGGGAATATAGAAAGAAAAATTACGTGAGTAAGGATGACTCCAAAATGTATGGCTTAAGCAGAAATGCAAGTGATAGAAATGCTTATGATGTTGGGCGTATGAGAGAAGCATAATAAAGTGGCTTTGGCCACAGGGCAATGGGCTGGTCAGCTCATGAGGGTTGTGCAAGACATGAAATGTCTAAGAGAAGGCAGTAACAGGAGAAACTCACCAAAACTTCTGTGAGGGATGGAGGGAGAGGCTCAGCTGAGCACAGAATCATAGAGTCATTTAGTTTGGCAGAGACCTTTAAGATCATCAAGTCCAATCGTTAAGCTAACACTTCCAAGCTCACCACTAAACCACTTCCATCAGTGTCACATCCACAAAGCTTTTAAATACCTCCAGGGGTGGTGACTCAGTCAACCCTGACAGAATTTTAGATTTTAATAACTTTTCCTTGGAATTTTTTTTTATGTTGTGGATTGGGGTGTTTTTCAAGCTCAACTGTTTAATGTACAGGAAAAGTGGGCAAACTTCTTACTGACAAATTAGAAACACCATTTACTCTTCACTGCTTCATTTGGCAGAGATGAAGCATGTATTAATGAATGGA